TTGTTCCAGCGGCACCACCAGAGTCTCTATTGTGGAGCCCATAACGGTCCAGCGGCACCACCAGAGTCTCTATTGTGGAGCCCATAACGGTCCAGCGGCACCACCAGGGTCTCTATTGTGGAGCCCATCCCGGTCCAGCGGCACCACCAGAGTCTCTATTGTGGAGCCCATCCTGGTCCAGCTGCACCACCAGGGTCTCTATTGTGGAGCCCATCCTGGTCCAGCGGCACCACCAGGGTCTCTATTGTGGAGCCCATCCCGGTCCAGCGGCACCACCAGGGTCTCTATTGTGGAGCCCATAACGGTCCAGCGGCACCACCAGAGTCTTTATTGTGGAGCCCATCCCAGTCCAGCTGCACCACCAGGGTCTCTATTGTGGAGCCCATCCTGGTCCAGCGGCACCACCAGAGTCTCTATTGTGGAGCCCATAACGGTCCAGCGGCACCACCAGGGTCTCTATTGTGGAGCCCATCCCGGTCCAGCGGCACTACCAGTGTCTCTATTGTGGAGCCCATCCCAGTCCAGTGGCACCACCAGGGTCTCTATTGTGGAGCCCATCCTGGTCCAGCGGCACCACCAGAGTCTCTATTGTGGAGCCCATAACGGTCCAGCGGCACCACCAGGGTCTCTATTGTGGAGCCCATCCCGGTCCAGCGGCACCACCAGGGTCTCTATTGTGGAGCCCATCCTGGTCCAGCGGCACCACCAGAGTCTCTATTGTGGAGCCCATCCCAGTCCAGCGGCACCACCAGGGTCTCAAATTGTGGAGCCCATCCTGGTCCAGCGGCACCACCAGAGTCTCTATTGTGGAGCCCATCCTGGTCCAGCTGCACCACCAGGGTCTCTATTGTGGAGCCCATCCTGGTCCAGCGGCACCACCAGAGTCTCTATTGTGGAGCCCATCCCAGTCCAGCGGCACCACCAGGGTCTCTATTGTGGAGCCCATCCTGGTCCAGCGGCACCACCCGAGTCTCTATTGTGGAGCCCATCCCAGTCCAGCGGCACCACCAGGGTCTCTATTGTGGAGCCCATCCTAGTCCAGCGGCACCACCAGGGTCTCTATTGTGGAGCCCATCCCAATCCAGCGGCACCACCAGGTTCTCTATTGTGGAGCCCATCCTGGTCCAGCGGCACCACCAGAGTCTCTATTGTGGAGCCCATCCTGGTCCAGCTGCACCACCAGGGTCTCTATTATGGAGCCCATCCTGGTCCAGCGGCACCACCAGAGTCTCTATTGTGGAGCCCATAACGGTCCAGCGGCACCACCAGAGTCTCCATTGTGGAGCCCATCCCGGTCCAGCGGCACCACCAGGGTCTCTATTGTGGCGCCCATCCTGGTCCAGCGGCACCACCAGAGTCTCTATTGTGGAGCCCATCCCAGTCCAGCTGCACCACCAGGGTCTCTATTGTGGAGCCCATAACGGTCCAGCGGCACCACCAGGGTCTCTATTGTGGAGCCCATCCCGGTCCAGCGGCACCACCAGGGTCTCTATTGTGGAGCACATCCCGGTCCAGCGGCACCACCAGGGTCTCCCTGCTCCGCTCAATAAAAGTCTACATCATTTGTTCTTATTTTATGTACTGTACATTTAAATGTTTATGTTGATATGTTTAACGTATATTGGAAAAATACTTTTCTGTAGCCTAAAAACTAATTATTTTCATTTACCAATTTTATAATAAAAAAAAGGTATAGAAGAATTTGTTTCATGTGGAAATTATGACTGTCATTACAAAAATAAACAATGTCCAGAACAATTCACTCTCTTTTATTTACACATTTAAAGTTGCATTAATTTTTTTTACATAATTTCTCTTTCCTTTTAAAAAATAAAAGTGCAAAAAAAAAAGTAAAACAAAAAAATGTAGAAAATGTTGAATATTTTTCAAACATTCTCTCAAGAAGAGAAAACAGCCTGTCCCTCCTCTCCCTACTCTCCTCGCCTCTGCCTCCCTCTATAGTTGCATTGCTTCTCTGATCAAGCCCAAAAACTCGTCCTCTGTCCCGCCGCCTTCGTGCTGCTGCTGCTCCTCCTCACCGTGGGCTCCCACTGCTGAACTCGGCCCTGGTCTGTCCTCAGGGATTGAGGCAATGAGAACAGGGGGGTTGGTGCAACGCCTCTGTCCCAACACCTCTTCCATGAGGACAAACCAGGGCCAAGTTTCAGCAGTGGGTTTCCCACTCACACCCTCACCTGTGCCAGGACACTTGCAATCCTAAAGGCAGAGCAAATGAACCATGGCTTGTTAACAACAACAGCACAATACATTTCAGCAAAGATGCGTGTATTACCGTAAAACTTCAAATAGTAGCCCGGGCTTTTATTTTCTCAAATCGTCGAACTGCACCGGCTTGTATTTGAGACAGGCGTCTATATGAGACAGGCCTTGATAATTTAGTGTTGAGATGTTGTTCATTGAGTGTATAGGCCTGTCTCTAATCTCTAAAAATCTCCAAATGCTCCACGTGAAACTGCGGTCTTCCGACCTTTTACTATCGTGTCAATTGATTTTGATTAATATGCGCGAGGGAGAGAGAGCAAGACAGCGCTCGTGTTGTTTGAAGACGTGAGAGTGCGCGCGCGCGGCCGGGGCTCTCTCTCTCTCTCTCTCTCTCTCTCTCTCTCTCTCTCTCTCTCTCTCTCTCTCTCTCTCTCTCTCTCTCTCTCTCTCTCTCTCTCTCTCTCTCTCTCTCTCTCTCTCTCTCTCTCTCTCTGTTTGTAACGCGCCCTGTCAAGCGCAGCAGTCATTCTATTCTACATCACTCATCGATCAAAAAAGGCTTTGGAGGGACAAAAAATTAGCTTTTTCGGCCGCCAAAAAGCGGACGATCTGACGGTTTTAGAGGATTAAATACAACCCGAAACTAAAAAACAGACCCGGCCTCTATTTGAGACCGGCCTTTATTTACCCAAACCTGCAGCCACACCAGGCGTGTAAAAGAGACAGGCGTCTATTTGGGACTCGGCTATTATTTGAAGTTTTACGGTAACTCTATTACTTTGTATTGTTTTTTGCCTGCATGGGAGTTACTCTCCCCAGCAGACCCATTTTCTCCAGAATTGCTCTAAAAAAGCAGAAAAGGGTACTTATGAAAAATATTAACACAGGGGTGCAATCTTAACATTAGTGCATTGATAACACTGCAAAATATGACACATTATGACATGCATACAAAATACTTCAGAAATCATATTTCTGGATACTCAAATTTGGTTAAAACCTTTGTAGACATAACGTTAGCTTGCACGACAGCACTACAAAAACACATAAAAGTGAAACCCCATTGCCCCATCTACTGCTTTTCTTATTGTTGTGGGCTTTATATGGTGAGTGATAATTCTTATAATACACAAGTGATAGACTAGTGCAAATATTACAAATAGGTAATTAAACTAATATTAGCACAAGTTTTGCCTCAAACCACCTGACAAATAAAGCCACGCAATGGTGACGAAGGAGTTAAGATGAAGTTTATAAGAAAGAAACTCTTTTAACTAGCTATTTGAGTAAATGAAAACATAATGGCCTACATTTAAATGTGAATTTTCCATCCACTACCGAACTCTTGGCCGCCTTTAAAAAAAAAAAAAAAATGTAGTCGTCACCGGCACGCAACAACTTATAGGGTAGGATAAGCCGCTAAGGATCCTTTTCTGTATCCTTCCTTTCACAGGGAAACAAAGGGTGCTTTTGAATCAGGGTAGCCTTCGTCGCGCCGCGGTGACGCAATCGGCCTTCAAATGCGACCTTCGGAGGAAGCAGCCTTCACATTGGGAGGATTTTTTCAAAGACTGGAGAAATTATCTGTTTTTAAAAAAGTAGGCTAAGTCCTTCCAAAGAAGAGAAATTACTATTTTTAATAAGATTCTCTAAAAAAGTGAGACATTGTGGCCTGATTTCTTTTATTAATATTCATTTTTCAGGACCAAAATTACATTCTGCACGGTGAGGAGTCTACAGGTTACAAGCTTCACATCAGTGGCGTAACGAGCCAACACCGGGCCCTTATGCAGGATTATCAAGGCGGGCCCCCTACTACAACACGTGATGACGCAATGTCCACCTGGCCACTTCATGCTTTTTCTGTGATCGTATAGCTATCCGATCGTGAAAAGACCAGGTGTAAATTCCCTTCGAAACGCATTCGAGACGGATTTGAATCCGGTCGCTCAAACCACTTCAGGAGGTGGTCTGGGCCGCATTCCAGACGACACTGGACAAGTGTAAATACATCTGGTTGTTGAAACCACATATGTCCATTTTACTCCTCTAAAAATGCTAAAAAAAATAAACGTGTGAGAGCGTGTTATAGCTAGGCTATATGTCATAGTCAGATATGACGACGCTTCTGCAACAACACGCATCGCCACACAATATGGCACATTTGGTTCAACTGTTTCATTGCTTCACGAAGCCTCGATCTGCCCACCACTAGTTGAGTTTACTGGAGTTCAAGGACATGAAAAGGTGAAGATTAGAACCGAACTTCAGTGGGAAACAACAGGAGTATAAAAAACTGATGAGTTGATTGCCTCTTTGGATACTGATAAGTCATTAAACCCAGATGCCTAGTAGCCTAGAGCTGAGGAAAAGAAACCCCAAGTGAAAGACAACAAGCCCAGAGTTGACCACTCCTTTGACTCAAAGCGTGATTATCTGCTGTGTATACATACATAGGCTACACCTCTTACCTCGTTGATTGGGTTGATTAACTGAATGTGCTCCACTCGTGTTTAATTAGGTTTGATCATCCTAATTATATTAACGTGCTCCTCCCGAACTTTGATAATAAAACATAATTTCTTAATATGCCAAATATGGTAGGGGTTGATCTTTGAGAACTATGATTGGATGGAATGGACATCGTGGTTAATGATTCTTGTGTATAAATATGAGGCTTCTTCCATATGCTATTATACTGTCTCAGCTTTATCATTTTCTGCAGATAGTCTAGGTAAAAATTAATATAACTCAGTATTCAGGCCAGTGCTGTAGCAATGCATCACTTCTTTTCCATGTTGTTTTCACTGCTAGCCATTATTGGGCCTGTGAGCGTTCAGTCCGCAGGAAGACGTGCTGAGCGGAGCAGCGACCGATCTTACAGATCTGTGCTGAAGGTGTCGAATGGAGGGCCGTGGGGATCGTGGGGGGTTATTAGCATGTGTCCAAGTGGAACGTACGCCGACGCGTTTAGTCTGAAGGTAAGTTGGGCACTGACTTTATTTAGCTAATATGGGGTGGAAGAGCGCTTCAAAGGTCAAACTCTGGAGTTGCTGTTTGTCGTTTAATTCCAGGTTTCTAAAGTGTCTGAGTAATAAAGAGCATGAAGAAAAATATGGGTTGGGTTAAAGTTAACTCTTTCAAATGGAAGATTGTCTTGTTCTTTTAAGGTGGAATCAGCTAATTATTTTGGTGGTGATGATACAGCACTCAATGGGATTCGTCTTTACTGTGTCGATCGGCCAGGCGCAAACGAATACACCGTAATTACGTCTGACGTAGGAGGGTAATGGATTATTAATTTTTGCATTAAGTGTTTAAGCTATTTAAGTAAATTGAGGATTTTCTTGAATGATTATTGATTTGATCAGGCAACCTCTTTTTTTTTTTTCTTCAGCTGGGGCGAGTGGAGAGATAAGCAATCGTGTTCTTCTGGATTCTTGAACACTTTCTGGCTGAGAGTTGAATCTCCCCGAGGATCTGGAGATGATACGGCCGCAAACAACATCGAGTGTGTGGTGCTATAAGTTATAACATCTCTTACTCGGTGTATACCTCTTACACCATCTTCTACCCATCCTGGGTTTATTTAGCTATTTAAGGACTCTCAGCCCAGTGTCATGAAACTGCGTATCTATACCACGAGTTTAATTTCTCATGCCATTTATACACTAAAAATAGTTTTCGCGTGCATATGACACGCACTTTATGGCGAGTAATACGCACGCACTCCACACCCTAATTCTACCCAAGGGGTTTACAGTGCTTAGCATATGCACGCAAAACCCATTATTGGTGTATAAATGGTATGAGAAATTAAATTTGTGGTATAGATGCGCACTTTTATGAGATTGTGTTAGGACTCTAGTTTTCCCCTATCAATAGTTTAGTTAATATCACTCTCGCAGTCGTGCTGCTGTTCGAGATCGCAGTGATTAGGCCGTCGGCTGCAGGAGATCATGTGACTGACATTCAATCCAACAGCACAATTACATCTTTATCATAATATTGTCACATCTGAATTTTTTCCAGTTTCAAATGCAGTGGTTGGGTGACCGGTGACGGCCTAGTCTGGGGTGAATATGGCGACTGGAGTCCAACGTGTGAAGGAAAAGGAATCTGCGGCTTACAGACCCGTGTAGAAGAGTCACAGGGAAGCGAAGGAGACGACACCGCTCTCAATGACGTGATCATGTTCTGCTGTGATTAAGGTGATGTGATCGCAATTAAAAACTCAGGCTGACACACACTGCACATCAACTAAATCTGATTTTTCTTTCAGGTGTAAGAGGATGACAAGAAGAACAGCAAGAAGATCCTATGAAAAACTAACAAACCATGTCATACAACAGTTTTGTAATGAAAAGTCAGCCGGTCATTATCACATAACATAAAGCCTAACTGGATGATCGGGACATTTGCTCCCCGCTTTTGAAGTTGAAATTATCGTATTCTTTCGTAGGTTAGTGATTCTTCTGAAGACTCCTGAACTTCTACTGAAACTGTTGTCAAATATCAGCAATAAAGACTTTCTAAACAGAACCTTGTAGTTTTACATTGTTTTGCACAACACTTTACATCAGATCGTTCATTACATTAGTGCATGTGGCAGATGGTCTAAAGTGACTTATATTGCATTCAAAGTAATTGTCTAATCCATTAATTCCCTGAGAATGACTAGCGTTATCTACATTAAAGTGTATTATTGTCAAGTTCCATAAACTTTTTGCCTTTCTAAAGCTATAAATGTTTAGCTAAAATGTCACAATGCACATTCAGAAAATGATTTTATGCTAAACAAATTCAAACCTCATTTTAATACTTTAATATTTGACAAGAATGTAAACATACTCCTGCAGTAAATATCACAAACCGTGCCAGAATCAAGAAGCAGTTCTGAATCTGTATTCAAAGACTATTATAAGTTTTTGTTATGTTTGGATGGGTGTTTCAGTTCTGTGCCTCAGTTTTCTCTCGTCTCTGTTTCACTTTTGTTCCTGGATTGTCTGCCGGACGCTAGTATTGTAAGACTGAAAACTTGTTGAAGAGAAAATATCTGACCAGTGGTCGATGAAACAAAAGGATCTTGTTGGAAATTAACATTTGACTCCCTCCCCCTCTTTCTTTGAGCACCTCATCTACATTCTCTCTCTCTCTCTCTCTCTCTCTCTCTCTCTCTCTCTCTCTCTCTCTCTCTCTCTCTCTCTCTCTCTCTCTCTCTCTCTCTCTCTCTCTGTAACACTTAAAACTCACACTAGATTATATATGGTTTTAATGTGAATGATTATCGTTAAGGATTGTGTTTAGTATCATTTTAAAGGTCTCAGGGTGGCTGGTACAAATGTCTCATTCCCAAATAAGTAAATCAAAAGGTAATCAAGTTCTTAAGAATATAGAAATATCTTGCACACTGAAGGGTGTCTTTGAGTTAACACCTTCTGACCATTTGTCTGAATGCTAATTTTCACTGTTCCTAGCAAATGGTCAAACTTCTATCCTCAGTAAGTCTGGGGAGGGGACCACAGTAACTTACATATCAAAGGAGGTCTGGATATATAATGAAATGCAACAGAGTTCAGGGCCTTTTCTGTATCTCAGATCAGCCCGTGGATGCTGAGTCGCCGAGACTCAGCATTCATGTATTTCATGTCGGGTAAAAGATTTTCCTCTTTGTTCAAGAACATTTGATGGTTTGCATTGATTATCTTTCAATTGATTATGAAATTGTAATAATACATTTACCTGACATAATAAATTGTTATATTTGATTATTCTAACAGACTTTGACTTTATTTTCATTGGAGTTAAAAGGAATAGTCAAACATTAACTTATATTTAATGATGTACAGATATCATTGAAAAACTTTTCATCTGACTTTCAGGAGTCAGATGAAACAAGTTAATACATAAGATAAAATGTATTGCATTTAATTAAAAATCCCATTGCCATGGGAAGAGACGGAACACGCGTGAGACTTTCACCGCTAATTTGAATTCTGCTATTGGATCGAATTAGACGGCCTTACACTATTATGGGTGGTTGCCCTGCACGCTTAATAAACAAACTACAGCTAGTTCAAAACGCAGCAGCTCGAGTTCTTACCAGAACCAGGAAATATGACCATATTAGCCCGGTTCTGTCAACACTGCATTGGCTCCCTATTAAACATTGTATACATTTTAAAATATTGCTGATTACTTACAAAGCACTAAATGGTTTATCTCCGCAGTACTTGAGTGAGCTCTTAACGCATTATAGTCCATCACGTCTATTGCGATCTCAAAATTCGGGCCAGTTGATAATACCGTCCTAGAATAACAAAATCGACTGCTGGCGGTAGATCCTTTTCCTTTTTAGCACCAAAACTTTGGAACAGTCTTCCTACCATTGTCCGGGAAGCAGACACACTCTGTCAGTTCAAAGCTAGACTAAAAACACATCTCTTTGACCTAGCATACACATAATACATTATAGACTTCTATAACTCAATGTTAGGCTGCATAGATTAGGTCAGCCGGAACTGGGAACACTTCCCTTAAATCCCGATGTACTCGTTACATCATAAGAAGAATGGCATCTACGCTAACTTTAGTGTCTTTGTTTATCCCGAGGTTTTCCCGCAGCCTGCCGGATCCAGGCCGTATCCAGATCTGACTAGGTGCTTCGCCTGGACAAACACACACACACACATGCCATCATGTTCACCTTGAATGCCCAATACAGTGTAGTTCACCTTAGTTTTTCATGTGATGTAATGTAAGAATGTAGGATCTTAAAGGATTAGTTCACCCCAAAATGAAAATGTCCTAAACATGTACTCCCTCCAATGCCATCCAAGATATCCATGTCTTGTGGATATCATGTTTGTGAGTAACCAACTAAGCAACCAACTCAGTATGGATATAATATCTTTAGAAAGGCAAAAAGTTTAGGCTAACAGGATTGACAATATTACACTTTAATTTAATGTGGTGTTCCTGCAGTAGAGTATGTGGCTCATTCTCAGGGAATGCATGAACAGATAAGACAAAAATTTTTTTTAAATAACGTTATACAGGAATTGCTATAAAGACTAAACTATCTCTGTTACCTTAAATTATTTGTGTATCTCTGTAAAGCTGCTTTGATACAATCTACATTGTTAAAAGCGCTGTATAAATGAAGAGGACTTAACAAGAGAAGCGTTTAACATCAGAGACACAATCTGATTATCCTAGTCATTTATCATCTGATCTGGATACGGCCTGGATCCGGCTGATTATATCATGCGTTGTGGTTTTAAGGTCAAAGCCTTAAAACACTATAAAATTAATGCCTCGGTAGGCAGTCTTTGTAAACACATTTCTTTCAACGGTTTACTTTTCATAAAAAGATATTCAGAAACAGGACAACTAACTTAAAACGCAAAGTAACACGGACACTGAACTTAAAGGAGAACTCCGGCGCAAAATGAACCTTTGGTCTAATTACACATTGTTACCTAGTCAACCGTTAACCAAAATAGCCCCACACTAACACAGTAACATAATGAGGGTCCCTACATGCAAACCGAAGCATTGAGAACTGTGTCAGTGTCCAGACAGTTTAATAAGAAGATATTTTATACATAGTCGTCTTCGCGTATACAGGCAGAAGCCATCTTTGAAAAACAGTCTCTACCAGTCGATCTACGAACGCCGATACAAGTGAGCTGGTGAGTTGTGATAAGGTGAGCGCGAACAGCAGGCTTGGATCGGCGTTCGTAGATCGACTGGTAGAGACTGTTTTTCAAAGATGGCTTCTGCCTGTATACGCAAAGATGACTGTATGTATAAAATATCTTCTTATTAAACTGTCTGGACACTGACAAAGTTCTCAATGCTTCGGTTTGAAGGTAGGGACCCTCATTATGCTACCGTGCTAGTGTGGGGCTATTTTGAGCCGTGTTCGTGGTATTAACAAGCGATTTGTATTTGTCATTACTCTATGCCCAATATACTAGCGTTATACTAGCTTTATAGGCTAAACTGTTTTTAGAGATAAAACTATTTACATTCGATAATCATGAAAACAAATCTCAGATAACGGTTGACTAGGTAACAATGTGTAATTAGACCAAAGGTTCATTTTGCGCCGGAGTTCTCCTTTAATAAAACAAAGAAATGTGAAAAACCTGTGCCAACTTAAGCCATTTGTAACTTGCCTAGGAGACACAGAACTGAAACATAATACAACACCCATCCCAACATAAAAACTCATTATAACAGTCTTTGATTACAGATTCATAACTGCTTCTTGAATCTGGTACCGTTTGTGAGATTTGCTGCAGGAGTGAATTTACATTCTCAAATACTAAAATGATGTTTGAATTTGTTTAGCATCAAATCATTTTCTGAATATGCATTGTGACATTTTATCTAAAACACATTTATATCTTTTGAAAGGCATAAAGTTTAGGGTAACCGGATTGCCAATATTACACTTTAATTTAATGTAGTGTTCCTGTAGAGTATGCTGGTCATTCTGAGGGAATGCATGAACGGATAAGACAATCACTTTGACTGCAATACAAGTCACTTTAGAAAATCTGCCACATGCACTAATGTAATGAATATCTGATGCAAAGCGTTGTGCAAAACAATGTGAAACTACAAGGTTCAGGAGTCTTCAGAAGAATCACAAACCTACAAGAATGATGAAGATCATTTAAACTCCAATAATAGGCAGGATCTAATTGTCTTGATCATCCGGTTAGGCTTTATTTTGTGATATGACCGGCTGACTTTACAGATTTACATCACAAAGCTGTTGTATGACATGGTTCATGTAAGTCTATCAAAGTATGATGAATAAATTACAATATATTTGATCTTCTTGCAGTTCTTGTCGTCATCCTCCTACACCTGAAAGAATAAACAGATTTAGTTGATGTGCAGTGTGTGTCAGTCTGAGTTTGATTGCGATCACATCACCTTAATCACAGCAGAACATGATCACGTCATTGAGAGCGGTGTCGTCTCCTTCGCTTCCCTGTGACTCTTCTACACGGGTCTGTAAGCCGCAGATTCCCTTTCCAAGACACCTTGGACTCCAGTCGCCCCACTTGCCCCAGTCTGTGCCGTAACCCTCCATGACATCACCACCACTGCATTGGAACCTGGAAAAAAATCAGATGGGACAATATAATGATAAAATATGTTATTGTGCTGTTGGATTGAATGTCAGTCACATGATCACCTACAGCAATCACAATCTCGAACAGCAGCACGACTGCGAGTGTGATATTAACTAAAGTATTG